ATTTAATAAGCGATATATCAAACCACATCGAAATCGATATTTAATCCGATAATACCTCACAGGTTATATTATGTTGAATTACATCGATGGTGCAGTAAGTTTTACACTTATTAATCAAAACTCAGATTGAACACTGATCTAATTTAGGCAAGTGGGGAAGGTAGATCGGGGTTTATGAGTATTCGTGACTTCATTAAGTGTTTTGAAGTAAGGTTAGATTAGGAAGGTATAGTGTAGGTTATAGATAGGTGATCGGGTTGTTTATTTGTGTTGCACCATATTATTTTTATCTTTTGGAATAGTTGGTTTAACAGGGAAACGATTTCAAAAATGATTGCATTATGGTCATCTACAGTATTCTAGCATTGACTTTATATAAAGTCAATGATTCTAGCAAATTACTACATAAAAACCAAATGAAAAGAACATTTGGATTTGGACCTTTGACCATAGCAAAACTATACGTAAATATCAAATCACGTTTGTTCCGCTCAACTGGCTTTCACCTCTCTGAAAGCAACCCTAGTATATAGGATAAACGATCCTTACGTTATTGCAATGGCAAAAATTAAAATAAGTAAATTACAGTCCCATTTCGGTGATAAACAATATTTCGATGTACAAACAATCCAAAATGACAAACAATGTAGAATCAATAAAATTGCATTTCCTTTTACTCGATTTGCATGGAGTTTTATGAAAGGACTTCGTGTCGTAATTAACTAACTGCTTAATTAACAAGTTCTTACAGTTATAGGCTACAATTATTTGACGGGAATCAAGTGAAGTTGCTTTCCTAAAAATATTACGGATTGTAACGTTTCCCGAGTCTTAAATTCACTTTTAAATTGAATGGTTTAGTTAATTCATCAACGATTGATATTATACAGCCTAAATTTTAGTGATGAATACGATTGCGTACATGAACGAAGTATTTCACCCAATTGAAATGCACATGTTGTTACTTTATTGTTTAAATGACACCATAGCTGTGTTTACTGAACAAGTAAAATCCCGTCGTGCTCTACAATAACTATATAACTCATTGAGTATATTGTATTTTAGACTTCGCTAAACAAATTAATAAAAACTACCAAATTAACCTTCTTATTATCTCGTTTTGTAAGGCTTTTATGAGTTGACATCAATTAGCTAGTTCTTACAGTTTTAATACAGTTTGCTCACAATCGTGTGAAGTTGCTTTTCATAGAATAGAATATTAAATATCACAGCTTCCCTAAGAATTGAATTGGTTTTAATTGAACTTAATAACAGTATTTGAATACACTTTTGTTTTTTAAGCACTACATTTAATAGTAAATATATAGAGGTTTTTCGGAAACAATATTGAAAGGTATTAAAATTTCTTTTTAATATCACAACCCCCCCCCCCCATCTAAGTTTCACATTTCTTTCGATTGATTTTGATAAATAATTTATACACAAACGAGAGCTCGCCCCGTAGTCGAAAACTCGGCCAAAATTATTATTTTGCAAACTTCTCCATTTTCACCCCACGCTGTAAATAAAACATGTGATTGGAATTTCTTCCATTTGTTTTGATTTTTGTTTATATATAAATGTTATTTCATCACCAACATGGGTAACCCCATAATAATGAAACCCATGAAATTTTAAATTCATTTTTGTGCTTATTTTTGAGCCTATTTTAATTTATAAAGGGATTCTGTAAATCTACACGAAAATATCTTTCATTCGGTGCCAATCGCGTGTAATTCGGTCCATTAGTATGGTCAAGCTAGCTGTCATAAGTTTTGCAAAAGTTTTTTTAGTATATAAGAAAGTTTCAAAACACTACACTTATTAGTCAATACCATCGAGGTTTTCCAGAAACGACATTTTGAAAGGTATTACAAATATCTTCTGTAAAAAGTATGACAAGCGGTTTTTCTCTATACTTAACAAAAAACAAAAAAAGTTACCTGAAAGTTTGAGAAGTCAAACGTCAGCTCGGCGCACTTCCCCGCACAAGACTGTCCGGCTATACTTAGCTCCTCCCCCCTCCCCCACCCAAAACACTTCGGTGCAAACTCCTTCACTTCTGCTTCTGTATGATTTCATTAACCCCCCCCCCCCTACATTCGTCTTGTTGGTGCATCTTATCATAAATCTACTTCATTTACACATCGTTTCCTCTTCCGGCCGCGTTTTGAACCTTGGTTGATATTTGAGGCTTTGGCTACCGGACCGGTAGACGCGTGCGTGGTGCGTAGAATATTTTGGGTTTTCAAAGTTAGGCTTTTCGGTTGTTTTAGGTAATTGTGTGATATGTTCTCGGTGGAAATTTAAGGTGTTAGTCTTATTCAAATACTTAATTACTCCGCTAAGACAGAGATGTACTCTAAGCTGAGTATGATGAACATTGAATAGTAAATTAATGAAGGAGGAGTGAGATAATGTTGCTTTGTTGCTGACTAAGATCAAGATCAGCTGTTTCTTCAGACAAGACCATTGATATTGACATAAGACTTTTAATTATCCTGATTAAACCCAAATATGAGTATAAGCATTGACTATTGAAGTGTATAGAATGGAGTGAGATGTTCCGTGTAGCTTTTTTGCTGGCCAAGATCAGCTGTTTCATTAGCCAGGATCATTTTATTTAAAGCCCAGTGATCAGGAACAGCTGAGTCCAGTTTCGAACCATGCGACCATCATACTTCGATGTACGCGACAACGGCACTTCGTTAATAACTTTCGAGAAAACGCTCCTTTTTCAGGATAGTGGATAGAACCGGCGACCTTCTGATTGAGAGACGAGACTATAACCACTCTGCTACCCAGCTGTCACCCAAGACTCCTCTTCTTTCAGCACCATGCTTTGCAGGTTTCATACAAATAATAAATTATATTTCCTATTTCAACAATTTCTGATACCTTTATGTTTTATATTCATACGAAACCATCAGAGTGTGCATTTAAAGTGGAAATGGATGTTGTACAAATGAGATGACAGCTATAAGATCAGCGGGTTCTTTGGTCAGGACTAGTTTATTAAACGTCCAATGATTTAAAGCCCAATAATCACTGTCTGCTGGGTCCATCCAGTGTTACACCATCAAAAAGCTACTGACATTTTTCAGGATAAACCCTGCGACCTCATTGCTAGACGAAATTTTACCTAGATGCGCAATGAAATGAAAATGTTATTCTATGTGTTAGATCTTTATGTTTTTTACATACATTATTTTGTTACTTGACGTTTTTGGTTGTAATGAAACAACATGACCCAATAGAATGTAACTTTTGCAAATGAAATCGCAAACAACGCATTTCGGTGGTCTATGATACAGTTTTGTCACGAAGTTGATTGTATTGATAGGATTGGCGTGAAATGTGACAATCATTTCGTAGATAAGATCAACACGGGCGCATTACATGCTTTGCTACCTTCTGTCGTGATCAGTGGCAGTCGTAGTTGCGGTTGGTGACGTGATTTGGTTCTCGCCAATTTATAACACCAAAACAAGTGAGTACGCTTCTTAAATCACAAGTTTAAAGTCGTCTTTCGTAGGTATATTCTGTTTACCAAGTTACATGTATTCACAAAAAAACTTCTCTTGTCTGCAGCCTCAAAGTAGGTTAGTGCTCACCTCAATCAAAAGGTCACCGATTCGATCCACAAAACGCCATCAACTTATTTTATCGATCTAAACTGGACTTAGTTATCTGTGATATTGGGATTTGAATTAATTATCCAAACAGATTATCGTATTCAGTAACAAAGCTTCAAATATTATGCACTATTCTACGTCCATTCTCTTTCATATCATATTCATAGCTTAAAATGGGTACTTGGATGAACGACAAGTCTTTAAAGTGACGAAACTATAAAAATAGTAAAATAAAGGCATAGCTCCAAAATTCCAAAAATTTAAAAAAATCGTGACCAACATTCAGTTCAAGCGAATTTTTACTTGAATTGAATTTTAAAGAGGGAGTTTAAGAGCTTCATTTCATAATACTGTAGCATGTATTTTTCTTTTCATCAATCCACGCCAATGAGAAAACATCTGTAAATTTAAAGACATTTTGTAAAAGTAAGGTTAGAGCTAACAAGTCTGCTACATGACTTAACTTCTACAAGATTAAGATTAAAAAATCAAGATTAAAATAAGATATATTTTAAGTAACACCACTGAATTATGTAGCTTAAGAAAATACTGTAAAATTTGTACAAACACTTGATCAAACTCAGTACAGTACTACAGTACACAATCCGTCAAAACTCTTGTACTCAACTACTGTACAGCGAAGAGCGACTGAATGACAGTGGCGACCGTATCTTCACATACCTGTAAGACAAGCAGTAGCTCAGCAGTTGAAGGCTTCAAATGAGGAAACTGTAAAAAATGTAAAAAATACAAACAGTGCATATTTAATACGTGATTAATGAGGTAAATATCTTAAATGAAGTAAACGTTATTCCTTATAGATGTATCAGAATTATAGATGAGCTTTACACAAAAATAAAGAATATTTGAATCTAGCACTTGAGGTTTTCCTGTATCATAACAAAATTAAAACAAAAAATATCTGAAATATGTTTTTCTTCTAATAGTTTATGGAAAAAATAAATAAAGTAATTTTTCTCCTGCGTAGTATTATATGCCTAATAATGTGTAACATTCAGTTCATAGAGACGGCAACAGACATACTTGTGTGTGTAATACAAAATTATATTATTTGTTGTAGTTAAACTAATTCACTCACATTCTGAGCTGGAATGTTAGTTTTTATACTGACTAAGAACAGCTGTTTCTCAGCCACGACAATTTATTAAGAGCCCAATGATCATAAACAACTGGGTCTAGCTTTGAACTACCACGACAATGTTTCTGAAGTTTTTCTACACATTGAGCCAGCGACTTTCTGAAATTGGGTGAGCATTATGACCATCCAATTTCCTAAATTGATACAGAGATTCTAAAGAGAAAGGCACATCTAGTTCACATTTTTCCTTGTTCTCATTAGGAGATATGAAACGAAGACCATTAAGGCAGAAAACAGAGGAGCCTTGGGGATTGCTGAAGACCAGCTGGAAATACCAGACAGGGGAGTTCTTCAACAAAAGCACACTTCATGGAGTCAGATACATCGCAGAAAAGGACAGACCCTTCTGCGAACGGTGAGGAATAAAAACATAGTAAATTATTAAACCTTATTATCATAGTTGACGTGTGCTACAAAGTATGTGCAGTGATTACAATTTTTTCCGTACATTTCCAATAGTAATCTTGAATTTAAAACATTTACATTATTTTTTAAGAATAATTTTCATTGTCACAATACACATACTATATTATTTTTTGGAATAATACCTACACCTTAATATCTTCAATGATGCTGAATCATCATTTTCTCAAAGAATGTGTGAGTTAATAAATCAGACTTTTGAGATTCCTTTTAGATTTGTTGCTAGTGAAAACCAGCTAATATAGACCAGAGTTATTTGCTAAAAGACCACCATTGAACCTTTAAATGAATTCTGGACCATCATTGTGAACCCCTCAAAATATTAAAATATATTAATAAAATAATATCATTCAAATATTACTTCCTCTGATCTCTTATCTTGGTTTAACACGTAGTTTCACCTACAATCATTGACTAAATAGTCAAAGCTACAATTCAAAAAATATTTCTTGTTTTCCTAGCGTTGTTAATACTTTTTGTTTCCCTAGTACAAAAGCAGAAAAACCTCTGCTATCCAGGCACTTTGAAATATTAGCAGACTATAACTGTTACTAAAGGTTCATGTGGTTTGTGCTGACCTCGGTGGGGACGATTACGACGTTGATTATCATCGTGTCACTCTGGGAGAAGTTCCAGACTAACCCGACCATCACTGGTCTTGACACAGACTTTCACAACTGGGAAGTGCCCTTCCCCACTGTCACTCTGTGTCCAGACGATCCAACCAATGAGACGCTCATCAACAACTTTATACAGAGGTTGGTTTGGTTTGAAATAATGAAAATTTAAAATAAAAGGTTAACTAAATCTGATGCAGTACTGATAAGACTAATAATTTTTAGCCAGACCACTTTTATACTTTTTATTGTATTACACTTGATTAATGTTGTAAGAATGCATGGTGTAGAGAAGATTCGCTCTTAGTTATCGGCGTACATCTAGCTTATCCATAAAGGGGGCCAAGGGGCCTCTGGGGAGCGGTATAACCCCCAGTGAAAAGTGGGTTTCTCCCCCAGAAAATGTTTAAGATTTAGATATATAAAACTGTTGATTTTACCTATTTTTGCACCTAAATTTTATTTTTTTATTTGACGTGTTTATTCGTGTTCAAAATGTAAAAAAACTTAGGTACTGCTGTGGCCACTGGTACCTCAAGTGGTAGTTAACCTCACAATGCCGCCATTCATCTCTGATGATTTACTGCATAATCAAAAAAATGTGGCTAAAGCGGGATCTTATAGTATATATTGACGCCCATGCTTTCAGTTAAGTAATGGGATAGTGGTAATTCAATTTTTTTGAATATATTGGTGTCTAGGGTGCTTACTATTAAATAGACGTATACGGTTGACCAAAAACGGTACAACACAAAAGAAAAGTTTTTATCACTGAAACTTATTTACTCGACTGCTTTGGAACCTGGGAGTTAAGTTAAGAAGTTCTCTCTGTTTTGGAACTAGAACGCTTGGGCTTTTGACTGACTTAGTCTTCTTAGTGTGCTAGACCATTAGATCTCATCAATTGAGCGATCTAAGATGTCGCCTCTCCTGCCAGAAGACTGTATAGACAATAGACAATAGACACTGAGGGATCGATCTGAGGGATATACTGAGGGATCGAGTCCTGTCTCAATTAGATCTTTATTTTATTTTTTTTACTTGGCACAGCACATATATACAATGAATTTACAAAGCAAAAACTGCAAAAGCCTTATAAAAAGGCTGGTCCACAGTGTTTCTTATAATAATACTAACTGTCATGATTTCACTGGTATGTGGCAGAGCTTAGTAAGATAAGTCTCACCATAACGGTGGATTACTTGGGTGGAAATTCTTAGGGTGTTGCACCACTCAAATCTGGCATTTTGCTAGTTTTTTGCTGATACTTACTCTGTGTGTGTCCAATAATAAATTATTTTAAAATAATTTGAAGTTTTGCGTTTGAAATTTCATGAACAACCCTGATAAAATAGAAAAAAATAAATGATTGAATAATGTATGGATTTTAAATTATTAACATAAACTCCCTGCTTTTAGCAATTGGGGTAATGTGTCTACTCAAGAAATTTCAGAGAAGTACTTTGACTTTATCAGAACGATGTCTCACTTGACCATAGCGGACCTCGATACCATCGTCAAATTTACTAACAACACTTCCGCTTACGATTTGCCTGTGACTAGCTTTGAAGAAGTTCTTTACCAGGTAATGTAAAATTTGTATTTTAATTGTACAGGGTGTTTTTTTTTAAACTTGCATCTTTATTTATGTAAAAACTGCAATTGATAGAAATATGCAGTTTGCGGGAATCATCTATTGACGTAGGGGGCCCAATTTTTTGGAATTCAACGTTACATTCACATTCCCCCACTTTCCCCCCCTTCGCACAGCTTAATTTTTTTAAATAGCAAGGTACCCCTTGTGACATATCAAATAAAAGAGCATGAAAAAAGAAAATGTTTGATGAAAAAAAATTGAAAATAAATTTGCGAGATATATCCCTCCCCCCTCCCCGGAACTTAATTTTTTATTTATCGCAAGGTACCCCTTGTGACATATCAAATGAAAGAGCATGAAAAAAGAAAATTTTTGGTGAAATTTATTTTTTATTTGATATGTCACAAGGGGGGTATCTTGCTATTTAAAAAAAAGTTATGGGTAGGGGAAAAGGGGGGGGGATTATCTCACAAATTCATAAGCCGATTTTCAATTTTTTTCACCAAACATTTTCTTTTTTCATGCTTTTTTATTTAATATGTCACAAGGGGTACCTTGCTATAAAAAAAAAAATTAAGTTCCGAGTGGGGAGGGGGGGAATATCTCACAAGTTTATGAACCGATTTTCAATTTTTTTCATCAAACATTTTCTTTTTTCATGCTCTTTCATTTGATATGTCACAAGGGGTACCTTGCTATTTAAAAAAAATAAGTTGGGGGCAGGGGGGAAGGGGGGAATGTGAATGTAACATTGAATTCAAAAAAATTGTGCCCCCTACGTCAATAGATGATTCCCGCAAACTGAATATTTCTATCTATTTCGGTTTTTACATAAATAAAGATGCAAGTTAAAAAAAAAACACCCTGTATAATGTTTCTTGTATACAAGCAAAACTCATAAAAAATTTGCAACTATTTAATTCTAAGAGCGGAAACAGGGGCCTCATTTGGGGGGGGGGGGCGTTTGCCCCCCCTGGTTCCTGGACTAGAGAAAAAAAAATGCTGTTCTAGCTAATATACAAATATTTTCTCCTGTCAAATCCTAAAAGCACGACAGACAAAAATCTTGCCTATTCTTCTACAGTAATTTGAAACAAAAACATAACCTCTCTTAGAAGTTATTAGTAGTGACTTTTAATTGAAACACAGTCCTAGGTAAAAGTAGAGTACCAACTTGTGTAAATAGTGTTAACGACACTCGTAGAAGTTTTTAAGGCACGAATCTTGTGTCGTTAACACTATCTTTACGCAATCGTTGCGTAAACTACTATTACAACAAAGGTGCATGAGTAAGTAATGCTTGTCTGGCAATCAAAAGGTCAGTGGTTTTATCCTGAGAAAAGTCAGTTGCTTTTTGATGGTCCAAAACTGGACTTTCTAATACCTGGGCTTCCAATAACCATCAGGTTAAAAAAACAAAAGGCTGTTGTCAGTAAAGCTACACAAACCATCCCATTCCATTCTACACTCTTGGATTCTTGGATGTATTCAGCTAGGTGACATTGCAATCTCTTAAGTAATGACAGTTTAATATGAAGATTTTACAAAACGTAGGTGGTGAACGACTGCCCCGATGTAATCTTTGACTGTGAATGGAAAGGAGAAGCGTACAATTGCTGCCAAGGGTTCCAGTACATACTCACTGAAGTTGGATTTTGTTACATTTTCAACTCTCGGTTTTCAAGAGGCAACACCGACACTCTGAGGTTTGTGCTTGGCTGTTTTTTAGTAACTTAAAATATTTAAAAAGGGTTTGTAAAGATTTTTGTGTGAGAATGTTTGTACTCTTACATTTATAGGGCATTTACTTGTTGAACCCAAATATTGAATATGCAATTATCTTCATTTTTTATGAAAATAATCTGCAATAAATGTATGAATCTAATTAATTAGGAATTGAAATTGTAGAGCCAAAGAGTGTGTATACTTTACTTTTACTGCCGTGGCTCCACAAATCTCAATAGATTCTTCGCCTCATGTACCAGCCTCTTCCACCCTTCACCCTTCTCTATCTTCTGCCAAGTTGACATTCGCACCCATTGTCCTGACGTCCTTCAAAACTTGGTCAGTCAATCTCAATTTCAGGGCGTTTACCTCTAGGTGTGGCTCTTCACACTAATACAGTCTTGTTCCTTTCTCTCTTCTTTCCACTTGCCCTAACAAACTTAACATTCTTCCTAGAACCATTGCAACAGTATCTGGGTCGGTGAATACTGATCTTAGCTCTCTATTTTTTCCTTACCCTCCAACAAGTATAGCTTATGTTAAATATTAAGGTTTAAAAAACTTCAGTAAACAATTCTAATTTATCCATTTTATAGATTTAGCTGAGTTGACGAAGGTTTCCCAAGGATTTTTGTTTGATTTTAAGTTGATAAATCTCCATAAAAAACATAACATCTTCAAGACTATTTAAGGAGAAGCTTTTTTATAAGAAATCCTTGTTATCTTTTAAAGTTTACAATTCTGTCTAAAACTTGATTTCAAACTACTTTTAGGATAGTTGAAGCTAAAGACTTCAAACCACAGATGATCCATGAGACAGATTCAAAATGGTCGATGGTTTTAAACATGCCAAATGTGGAAGAAAACAATATCAGGGTAAGTTGTTATCGTAATCACATTGGTTGTTAAAATCTTAAATCTTAACACATTCCCTACAAACAGTAACACTCATTCCCCTCTGTATCTGAGATCAGATTATAATTGGTAGTTACTGTAATCACTACCTACCAATGTCTCTGATGTTCTTAGTTTTGTTTGAGTGTTGTGGGTCCAGTATAATGTGTGTAGTCTAATATTTCTCGGTTTGCGACGGAAGAGGATCTTATAATTTCTCATAAAGGTGAAAATGCCATAGATTTCATGTAAGTATGATACAATGACAAAATTGAAGGTCTGTGAGAAGGTTGAAAAAAAAACATTGATTTGTGTTAAGTTTCTTTCAATATCCATCGTTTTTTAAATTAACTATTCAAACTGTGAAAAAAATACAGAGAAATAATGTGTGGAATATATTCTCAACTTGAATTTAACTGAATCAAAATGTTGAAGTTAAAATAAATTGTTAAATATATTTAATCCTAGATGGGTATCGCACGTAAATTTGACGTAGGGCGAGTTATTTTTAGCGTCCCACCCCCAACCCCTTTAACCGACGCTAACCTCCTTCCAGCAGTGCTCTCAGCAGTCTTTTGCCTTGTGATGGCTGCTTTAGTTGGGTTGTAGTGTGTTTCTTTATGTCCTTGCTAGTCGGTTTCATGGAACGCATACGTCAAACTTACCTGTTAATATCCTTTGTGTATAGTAAAATGGCCGGCGTTTCGTCAAATTTACAAATTGATATGCTTAGCGTCATACTGTATGACGATACCTTTCTAGGGTTAAAAGCCAGGTAAAGTAGGTGTTTAGGTAAAAGCCGGATCAGTCACAACAATGACTGACAAAACACCATACTGTACTAAACATTGCAGCACAAAATAACGATCCAACACATTTCCAGGTGTTCATCCACAGTGCGGATGAAGTACCAACTCTTGACATGGTTCCGCAGCACGTGTGGAAACGTACGATCCACTCTGTCTTCTTCTCCGTGAAACATACTTACACGATGGAGGACGTGCGGCAGTTGAGCATCAAACAGCGTCATTGCGTCTTCCCGCAGGAGATCAAACTGTTGACCGGAGGCAACTACACATACGGAGGCTGCATGATGGAGTGTCGCATGAAGAAAGCTTTCGCTCTCTGCAAATGTTTGCCGTACTTCTATCCTGAACTGGGTACATGTATTTGCTTTCTTTCTAGTTATATCTACGTTCAAGTGGTGTAGTCGTTTTTCCAGTGTGGGAACGATCACCAAGGTCGCTTACCAATATTCTTTGGAAATAGCAAAGTGGAGTGCTGTTCCCACGCATTCCCCGCCCCACTACTACTACACCATTGTCTACATTGTAAAGAAAAGGTGGTTTGTGTTTGTGTGAGTAACGTACCAACTTAATAACATTTTAGACAAAATTAAATCATGATCCCGATATTATTATCAATTTTTTAATATTGCAAGGTAAGAGTGGACTGGAGTGAGATACTTATTTTGATGTAAAATGTGCCTTTCTTTAAGAATGTTACTTATAATTAATTGTATACTCTTTTAAAACTATTACTTAATATTCTTACTATGGATTTGAAAATGTGTACTTAAGATGATGAACATATTGTTTTAGCAAAGTTCCCTCGATGTGACCTGAAGGGATTGGGTTGCTTGGCTAAACATTCAGGTAAGTTGGTGAATTTTATTTGTCTTTCTGTTGTGCAAATTAAATGTCCCTAGTCTTTACCAATCAGCGTACTGTTCTTAGTAAAATATGACAATATTTAATGCCAACACAGAAAAACAAAGACACATTTGAAATTTGTATTTTAAGTATCAGTATTAAGGAAAGTAATTCTTTTGTTTGGGTACCTACTTATTAGTTACCGGTAATGTAATAAATCCATCGTTAGTAGGTCTACAAATAATTATTTTATACCCTAAACACTTCGCTAATATTTAAATATTTTCTTTGTCAAACTTATTTTAATCTACAAAAATTAAATTTCAGATGAGCTAACACAGATGAGCTGTTCTTGTGAGTTGGGATGCATGAATACAGTTTATGAAGTGGATAAACTAGATGATGTGACGTAAGTATCATTGTACAAAAGAACTCTAGCTCTGGGCCCGTAGTATCCTCTCCCCCTCCTTCCATGTGTAAATAGGGATCAAGCAGGATTCAGTTAAAAACTGCATTTAGTTCAAATGAGCTGGTTTGCATATTTAATTAGCATTTTTCAAGAGATGTGGACAATAACATCATCATACATAAATTCTCCAGCATAGAGGCAAATTCTAACAGTTTTATGGTAAAAAAAAAAAAAAAACTTTGTTCCTTGAAATTGATGAAATCCTTTAAAACAACTGCCCAACAAACAGCTAACTTCTTCGAAAACTATCTTTATTTTCTATCAGTTAGTTTTCTAACTAGCCTTACTAATAACTTCTATAAATTACTTTTTACGGGACTAACTAATAACTTCTAACTAGTTAGAACTTTTTACTAACTTTCCCAAAGATGAAATTAGGGGGAAAGTAGAATTTCGTTAGCAGCACATTTTATAAAAAGTGGCTCATTAAAATTTATTTTTACAAATCTTGCTGTATGCTTAAAACAAAATTATAATGCACTGAAAAAAACATAAAATGTTAGCGTCAGCTGCTAGCCTTTAGAAAAAAATTAAAACTCAACTCTTTAAAAGTAAAACCTGGATGTACTTCCCCTCTTGAAATAAACTTCCTTTCAGAAGAAGAATAATAAAATTTGTCAAGTGGGTGGTTCAGAATCTTTAAAATAATCCCTTCAGATAAAAATCCATTTTGATATAATAATAAGATTTACTTTTAAAACTTAAAGTAACAACGCAGTATCGGCAAAGCCACACTCCATCCAAAAGGATGCATATTTTTGAGATTATAAAGTTAGATCTTATAATGCTTTGCATTTTTACATACTGCAACAAAAGTAGTTGTCATTTCAAATATTTGAAAACAACTGTCAACTGTGCCTACTTTTCAATTTATTTTATTACAAATGTGATAAAATGTATTCTTAAAATATAAATGTAAAATGTATTTATACCAAAATGTATTCCAGACCAGAAGAAAAGAACCTGGAGATAGGTTTTGTGTCGTGGCCGATGGTTCGCTACAAACGGGAGGTGTTATTTGGCTGGGTCGACCTACTGGGCGAGTATTTTAAACTTGTTATTGCATGTTTTAAAATGAATTAACCTTGATTATCAATTTGAACAACCGAACACAACACTAGTTCAACAAATTAGCTTTGATCAGCTCGAGCTTTGGTTCATAAAACTTTCACCCCTTTTAATCAAAATTCAAAAACTTTACCAGGCCCGCGGTTCTCATTTGACACGCTATGGGCCAAAGGAATAACTGCGCCCCCTCAAACCTTGTGGAGGAGTTTTTCTCTTCTTTGCACCCCCAACAAACCTAAATCCCCTTGCGCTTGTGGGCCTAGGCCTACCGGGCCAGGGGCCCTGCATTTTCTTTACTAAAATAAATGGACACTGATACAAAGTAAACCATTCAAACCATTTTTAAATGTAAAAAGTTTTTGGTGAACTCGCACAACTGTAAGGACAATCTAATTAGTAAAATCCCTTATTTGACTTCAAATCATACACGAGCCATCCTCCACCCAAGCTGTCTTGTCTGTTTATTTTAATGGGTCTCCTAAACATGCATTGATCTAGATTTTATTTTTTTAACATGTTAAATTTCTTGACTATAAACTTCAGAGTTACCTATCAAACAAATGTAAAACTAAATGGCTACTAAAACAGTGACAGATACGCTATATTTGGCTTCTTAAGTGAATTAATTTTTTTAAACACTAACCTTTTTGTAATGCTGATTTCAGTTTCATTTGGAGGGATCGCTGGTCTCTTCTTGGGGTTCAGTTTGCTCAGTGGAGTTGAAATTGTGTATTACTTTACAATGCGATCATGCTGCATGCTCTACAGAAACAGGTTTGTCAAATGCATCGGAGTAGAATTGAATTTGTTCCTAAAGGTGATTTAAATGTGGAGTTCTTATATACAATTTTTTCACAATTATTAAAAAATGTATGTGAGTTTCAGTTTTCTAAAAAATAGAAAACAATACAAGCCTCTAAAGGAATTTATTATTACTTTTATAATTTTTTTACCATACATGTAACATTATATATTTTTATTGATTTGCATTGAGGAGTCTTTATTTGAAATAATTTAACTGAAAAGCAGATTAGAAGACTTAATTTTTATGTCAGGGTTAATCTAATATGTTTATTTAGGATAGTCCATTAAAACACAATTATTTATTTCACAGTAATATTCAAGAAAATAATTGCTGATACTATTAATAATTTATACTTTAGCTATTCGAATGTCTGCAAGTAAGCTATTAGTTTTGATCTTGCAAATTAACATAATGTATAAAATACTTATGCTTACTTGTAACTGTCAGTAGAATGGTTTTTTTTACAAAACGAGAAAGAATAATTTTTTTAGTTTCAGACTTGGTGGGTAAAATATTTCCTTACTTTTCCCAATTTCTTTTAGGGACGAGCTGGAACAGCTAAAGCATGAATATGAGAATCAACCTCGACCAGAAATCAACCTGGACCTGAAACCATTCTTTGCAAAAGATACCAAAGTGGTACCTACTGCTGGGCCTATAAAAGTGGAAAAAATGCCAGACATTTACTCAATACCTTACCTCAACTGAGGCCTGTGACGTAGTGCTGAGTGTAGATGTGTTGGGATGATGAGGTGTTTTGTTTTGCCAAACTGACATCCTAGGATGCTAGGCTCCAACCCGGATCCGGTGTACAAATTACTCCAGGCTGGGCCAGTGATGAAATCGATTAGTGATTGGCAGGGTTTGAACCTGGGACCAAAGTCTTGCGCTCTGCCACTAGACCAGCTTGTTTATAGAGCGACGATTGTCAGACATTCCAGTTTTTCCAGAGCAAGGAGTCAGATTGTCGTTGGGTAACATGTTGCCTGTGAAATTCACCCATGATGGTTAGTAGAAATTGTTTGTAATAAACATTAAACAATTCAAAAAGCAAAATAGAATTTTAACAAAAAATTACTGAACAGCTACTGACTCTCTCTTCAAATTGCTAATTTTTGCTAACCAACGATTTCACAGTCTTGTCATAGTTTGGAGACATAAATAATGTACTTATGAGGAAACTTAGTTGAGAATGACAAATTGGCCAAAAGGACTTGTATAAAGGGTTTTGGTTGGGACAGCAAAATTACCTAAATTGGAAAGTCTCCATTTTGACGATTAACAAAAAACAAGGACTCCCCTCCAGCACAGGCAGTAATCTATCATTAAGGTTTTGCAGACCTAATGAGCACATTGATGCTCTGGACTTTTATACCCCATCATTGAAAATAGTCATGACTTCTGTATGTAAATGTCAGAGTATGAGAAGTAAATTTATTCATTCTTGTCAAGAATAAAACTTGTCTTATTTTATCCTGAGGTTTTCTACTTTATTATGATGTGTGTGGATATGTGATCAAACTATCACAAGTTTCTTTCTTTATGGATATTGACCAGGATCTTCATACACACAACACAAACGCAAGCAATTGTTTTGAGATAAAATAATGTTATTTAACCTCACTTTAACTGACATCATTATTAGGATCAGCCCCTGGGCTCATCTCAAACTTAAGTGCTTCAAGTCAAATATGTACAAGATAATTACTTAGGTAATAAACACCTCAGATTGCAAAACAAAATCATTTATTTAACTTAATCTATCATAACAACACATTTTCAAGCTATCAAAAAATAAACACTAAAACATATAAAATATATCTAAAATAGGCAAGTACACATTTTAATGCAATTGTTAATCTATAACACTACAGTATATACAACTAAAATCAAGGAACATTAAAACAACTATTGTTGTGTAACTAAACAACCGCATATAACATTTATCGATGTTTAAGATAACATTTGGTTGTTTGTTAAAATTCTGAGACCATCAAAACTCATTTTGTTAAAAACCTACAACATGGTAAATTCTTTAATCATACACATTAGTCAAACCAAACAAATTGATTTGAATGTTTACTAAATCTTACTTTTTAAGACCTCTTAATACTTTTTTTTAACAAAACACGGAGTGAGACATGCACAGAAGAACATATTTAAGTTTGCAGGAGAAACAAAACAATCCTTTCCTGTTGAAGTTTTTTTTACGAACATTGGAAAAACAAATGTTACCTATGCCTTAACTTTCGGAAGGAGGTAAGAGCAATGGGGAAGGGTTGTGTCATTGACTATTTGCGTTTAAACAGAAAAGGACTATCCGTTAATTACTGTGACACATATGTTACATAAAACCATATAGCAAAATTGCATCACAATCAATATTTGTTGTATGACTTGCTGGGTAAAATTATCTTTGTAACCGTTTCACAACTTTTTCTCTTTCTGAAAAAGCAAACAGTAAAAAAAAAACTGTTAATGTTTTTTAATCACGTTTGACAACATTTTACCATAGCTGGTTATAAAAATATTAATAAGCAAACCACAAAAATAAACGTACAAAAATTACTATTCTACTCTATGGCTATATACACATTATTATTTTTGTTAATTTACATGTATTATTCTAATTTTAGTGAGTACAAATACTACAAAATCAAAATCCCAGTTTATATTTCATTCAAATTTCCAACGCTTAAAACCACCTGGTATAAATAATTTATGACTAATAAAAAAAAAAAAAATAATAAACTCATGTCTAATGCAAGCATTACTTTTCTAAAACCTAGAATTCCTAGTAATAAATAAAATGTAATTTGATCATTAAGTAATATTACAAATTATAGATGACTAGGTATGAGGTAATGCTATATTTTCACAAACAATTAATAATGTTAATTTCCACAGTTAAAATATACAATTAAAAAGATTTTACAGCTCAACTGACTAGATTGAGTATCATTTAAGTAATGCTACGTTAATATCAACGAGGCAAAGTTTTGACTCTTCACAGATAAATAAATAAATGTGGTTTTCAAAGATACTTAATTGGCAAGTTAAGGTACAAACAAAATCCAAGTTTCAACAACTTTACAGAAAATAACACCAGACATAAGATTGACAGTGTCAAATGATATTCAACCATTTTTTTCAGACTAGCAAAGATTTTAAATCCTAAACCATTAACAAAGTAAATTGGTTATTATCTCCAAGAACCCTGAAGTCATTTGGTACCCTTCGTAAGACTTCAACCTTCCAACTTCTTCGACTCAACACACCATGTTATACAGTTAAAAGTAACAGAACTAAAGATAGTACAATGGTAATGATTGCTCCTTCAACTTTAAGCTTAAAAAGACATTCCTATACCGATACACCTAAACAACTTGACTAAACATTTTTGACTACGGTACTTTATACTGTTACATTAGACATCTAGGTAGTGATGTGTGTGTATGTAAGTGTTCATGTTTGTTTACCAATCAATTGGACTAGTCAGTGACATTGGGATTGGTGTAGCTGAACCCTTGGAACTGCGTTTGATCCATCGATTGCAGAATGGAAGGATCGATCGGCGTAAGACAAGCTCGCTCGGCCGTGAAGTGTTTGTCAAAATAGTGAACGTCCAATGGGTGCTTCTGAAAACAAGGTAGGAATTACTTGTTAAAATTATGATTTGGCTGGTAATTGATCACCAGTTCACCAGTTAGCTTAATATGAATTACAACATATCCTGTACTCTGATGATTAAGGGAATTCCAAAGTGGTAATGGTGAGTAAGTTTTCACAATAAAGGAGAATGCTTTTGCTCGTATGTGAGCACAATGTCAATGGTCATTAATAAAATATTCCTAAACCGTTAAGGTTAGCATAGAGGAGGAATGCCAGATCACAATGTGATACGGCATTACATAGTAGTAGCTTTTTGATGGTTCGAAACTGGAGACAGGTGTCCCTGATTATTGGGCTTTAAATTAATGATCCTGGCTAATAAAACAAAGCTACACAGATACAAAATACGCACCTCGCTGGCATTCCCATCTCAATGATTGATAATTAATGATTATGATGTTACTGAAATCAATTACAGAGTATTTTCTGTCAAAATTGAGATGGAATCGACACACAATATATCAAGGTGCACTTACAACATTAGGCTTGAAGGGAGGCACAAGTTCCCTGCGCTCGAGTCTATCCCAGTCCAAGCCGTTGAAGAACGGATGAGCCATCACCTCCAGAGCTCCGTTCTCACAAGACCCTAGTCTCTTGCTGGCCTCCTTCTCTAGCAACTGATGAACAAACAAGTTCTGGTCAGAAATTACACTCAGGGTGTCTAGTTTATTTCCATTTTTAAATTTAAGACTAATTCCAGACTAGTTTTTTCAACAATTAGTGATGTGTTGATGCAAAAATTTATCAATTCTCGATACTGAGACCTGAAAAAATCTATTCTCAATTCTTGATACCGATAAATTATTTTTATAATTTTACCAAATGTTTGAAATAATTTGGTTAAACTACACCAACCCCTGTCTTTATGATATTAAGTCTTTTTAAGATAATGGGATGTTTTTAACTTTTAAATTAAGAAAATAATAATGCAGCAATGAAAAAATCTAACTAGCCAATTTGGGTTTAAACTACTAGACACCCTGTACACTACACATTAAGATACACAACAATTTTTTAAAAGGGATTTGAATTTGCTAAAAAGGTTTATTGAATAATTATTCATAACAATTTTTGAATTATATATACAACTAGCAGAGTACCGTTCTTTCGTACGGGGTTGGCATGCTAACCGCAGCACTGCTGTCTGTCTAAATTAAATTCTTTTTGTCCATGATTATACTTTATAACAACAAGTTGATTTTACATACAGTAGTAGCAAGAACAGTGTTTGGACCTTTTAAAAAATGTAATTGGTGCATGAAAAATGGAAATAATAATAAACAAGTCTTATACATGGTGACACAAAGGAACCGGACGTTTTTTAAACAGCTGTCCCATTGTTGTCGCACGTTGTAGGAAGATTGAGGTTATGTCATTACCTTCAGTGAGGCTTGCCATTTTTGTTGAAATGGCTTAGTGGACCCTAGACCATCGCGTTTTCGCATACGAAACTTCGGTCCAAAATGGTGAATCCATCGTCAAAACCCAGTGGGAATTTAGTCGACATTTTAATATTGAACGCCATGGAACGGTTTCAAGCCGAAATACGCTAAATGGTGGGTTTCAGGGTTCCGAACAACTGGAAATTTAACAAGAAAGAAACCACCAGGCTTCTAGAACTTCAAGAACACACGAAAACGTCGCCAGAGTGAGAGCTGTATTGAATGAATGTTTCCTAACAAGGTGATTTCTCTCTTTGGTGACATACCGTGGCCGCCAAGGTCACCTGACTTGTCCTTTAGTGATTACTTCCTTTCGGGGTTTCTTAAGGATCGTTTTTATACTCACTAACCACGCACTCTAGAGGATTTGAAGTTGGGAATCACAGAAGATATCAATGGCATTGAGCAAGACCTCCTGACCGGAGTTACAGATGATTTTCAGACCAGAATGAACATTTGTAGAGAAGTACATGGCCACCATATGCATGACGTCATTTTCAAAAAATGACTGTTTTGTAACAAATGGCAAATGTTTACCTCACTATGTACAGTATTAAAACCATTTTATTCCATTTAACTACTGCGTACTACTTATTTAAAAAACGTCCGGTTCCTTTGTGTCACCCTGTATTATAGCTATAGGCCTAACAATTTTTTTAACTTTATTTCTTATTTCACTGGTGGTATTTCATAATCAATAATTTCAAGACAGGAATCTCTCTACATTATAGTGATCTTAAAGCTGTTTGCAAGATTAGTGCAATCAACATTTTATGACGTTTCAATGACTTGACTATGCAAGATATAATCAAGATTTTACTACAAACACAGGAGATGCTCCTAATTTGAAGGCAAACACTGGAGATTTTAATGTTGGTAAAACCGATCATATGCTGTACACTGCCCAATCACTGATAAACGATACTAGGACAATAACAGTAAGCCACAAACCTGCATTAGAATGCGCTTAGCCTCCAGTGTGATGAAGCGAGGGTAGTGCGGCTGACGGTTGCAGATACACCAGAACAAGTCATCCTCGTCACACCCACTGAAGGGACTCTCTCCCACCAACATCTCATACATCAGGATACCAAACGACCACCAGTCCACACACTGGTTGTACTTCAGTCCCTTCAAGATCTGGTGACAAACATCACAATGAGAATGTTATGTCGAGCTGAAAGGTTTAGAGTTACTGTAGTCCCTGGGCAGGGTCTGAACGAGAAGGCTGGGATTTTAAACAGCTGTTGCTTGGGGACTTTTATTATTGTCTACGCTAGTGGCCTTTTTCAGAGGTGATGTAACAGAGACTGTTCGTGTTATTCAAACGCTTTTTGGGAAAGCGGTCCAAACCCAATATGTTTTGTGGGTGTGCCGGGAATCGAACCCGTCCGCACCAAAGTTAGAGACGCTAACCACTAGACTAACACACCCATTGACGATAGAAGATAATTAAGCGATTTAATAGTCAAATTGAGGAGTACCTTAAGTTCTGGTTGTCTTCAATATTATTGAGCATATAACTGGCAAAATCTGTATGCTTAGGGTGATTATTGGTAGGTCTCAATATTTTACAAGAACATCACAAAGTGTCGATTTAGGTATGTTTAACTGCAGACTTTGTCGGGCAATCAATTTTTTCAGGCCTCTGATGCAGGTTTGTCAGATTTCATCGACTTTGTCATCACTTGTTTTTGGCTGGCCAGGTAAATGTACTTCCAAAATCTTCCTGTGTCACAAAACTGGTTAAACCAGCAACAAATTTATTTATCATCGGGTGAATTTTGCCCTCAATACAAAACTCAAAACTGACGCTGCAAACTGACAATCAATTTAAACTCCACAAACCACAGAACACAGTGACGCTTCTGATGTGCTGTATCGTAACTCTTAACTGGCGACTGGCGTCAGGTGTGTGAGTCACAACTGCGGCCTGCCACTGTGTACCTGTTTTGCGCATGTCAAGGTCCACATTTCCTCCCTTTACATCGGAAAACAAAACTTAGCTATTTTAACTCCAATTAAATCATTTATATAGTTTATTAGTTATCTTGGACAGACCCTAAGAAATGACCATTTCAAATCATAGCATTCTTTTTTGGATATCCTGCATTCATTTTGAGTCCCCTGAGCAATATCGTATACCTGTATAAACTTCTTAAAACGTTTTTGAGGAAGATCAAAGGTGTCAAGAGTCAATTTTTCAAATTATAATTACATACTGTTGGTTTTTACACCATATGATTAATAACAATTTAAAAACTAAGAATCTAAACTTCCGTACCTCAGGTGCCATATAGTCAGGTGTGCCACAAAACGTGTCGGCCGTCCTGTCCAGGTATATTTGCAGCTTACACATGCCAAAGTCTGCAATCCTCACGTGGCCATCAAAGTCCAACAGGATGTTGTCCAGCTTCAGGTCTCTGGAAATGGCATTGCTCAGTCAAAGTGAAAAGTTGTAAGTATATTGTCAACGTTTAAAAGTCCTTAAAATGTCATATTTATTCTCAAGGTTGCTTGGTACGTGTTGAACGGTTGACACTTTGGATCTGACGCAGCCAGAGTACTGCCTAACATGAAATAGTAAAACACCATATTTTGCAAACACTAAGTATGGTTCAAACATTGTAAAATGTCCAGACATACTCTGGTGTGTAAAAAATGTGCTTAGTTTTATAACCCATACAATGCTGAGCTGTTGGATCTTACGCAACAGGTAACACAAGTTCGCAAGGTTCTGGTGACTTGTTAGAATCAGGACAAAGCTGAGCACCACACAACAAAGGTCCTCAAGTTTATTACCTGTAAACGATTCCTTTCTTGTGTAGAAACTTGAGACCAGAAACTATTTCTGCTGCATAAAATCTGGCTCTGCCTTCATCAAACCTCCCTTGCTGTTGGATATGGAACATGAGATCACCTCCGTTGAGGTACTCCATGACAAAGAACAGGTGCGACTGTAAATCATATGGATTTATAACATGAATACCAAACATGTTCTGACAGTAAACAAGAAAACATGCAGCTACTTTGTAGTTATAATGCACTTTTGACTTTTACTAAACAGAAGCTTGCCGATTCGATTCTGAGAATGGGAGGCTTTGTTTTGGTAAACTGTCTCTAAGGTGAATTTCAACATTGGTGTTAATTAATTTTAGGACCAAACTGCTTGATATCCGATAAGCTCTACGGACAAAATAACATTATTATTTCCCTTGAACCAGCTGGTATAAGTCCCAATGGGTAAATGGGAATGATCTAATGATGTGTTTTGAACTCTACAAGTTATTGATCTACTAAAAATCTCCTTTTACATTGATCTAACTGGACATTGATTGTTTTAGAACATTGGTCATCTAAACCTGCAACTTCCTATAATGCTATAGACGTTAAATCTATAGTATGAATCAAATACGTTTAACTGATAGGTTTTGACCAGTCTTCAAGTCCAATCAAAACGACTCTCATAAGTATTTTCAGTAGAAGTGTACAGGTTTTAATAGTGCAAGAAAACATCTTTTATTCTTACAAACATAAAAAGTGACATTCATCTGGACTAGGCCTATTAAGAAAAACAACAAAAGGGTTCAATCGTACTTTTAATTGACAGTGGATGGACCTGTACTACACTATACTATTTCTTAATTGAAGGATTAAAATTTGACCCACTTGTCATTAATCATTGGACTTTTCAATAAATGAGTCTTACTATATTTAGCGTTAAGGATCAGCATCCTATAAAGTTGATATAAATCAATCAACTCATAAACTAAACACTGAACACCTAAACTTGAACTGATCTTTAGTAAGGTCCTGACCTCAGTCTGGAAAGTGCAGAAGAGATGGCAGAGGTAAGGGTGGTTGGTCCCCAATGCCAAGACTTTGCGCTCAATCAAAGTGCACTCAACATCATCATCTTCCAACACCACGTCTTTCTTGAGGCACTTCACAGCGTAGTAATACTGAGTGCCGCGAAGCTCTGCGAGCAATACCTGCCAGAAAACAGCATCAAGTTCAGTAATCTAGTACCGGGGGACCAAGCCTTGCTCAGTTAATTGGGTGAATTGTTTGATTGGGTTTAATCGCTGAAAAAATATCGTACACAAACACATTTTATAATTTACGAAAAACATTTTTATTACAAACCATAGACATTTGATCGTTGAAATAAGAAACAACTCTGTAATGTTGTACTCTGTAAAAGTATGCAATTTTAAAAAGTGTTTTTTTAAAAAAGATACACTTTTTATCTTTACTAAGTTTAAGTGCTACTTGAATATAATGTTTCTCTCCTATAGTCATTGAAACCCATTGTTCGACTTTTACACTCACCGATGACAGCAGATAAAAATATCATACAGTATAAACAAAATCATATTAGTTTCAATTGCTTGTCACAACGATTTTCACTTTTGCGCTACTACTTCTAAAGAAATTGAGATCCTGTCTCTTTTTTCATTGGGATTTAGCATACTGTGATAGTTTTATGGCAACTAAACCCCCAGATGTAGTTGATTTACTTGGAATATTGTTATGATAAAATCTATTACCGCCAATTAATTCCTCATCAGTGTAGTGCTAAGACTTTTAGTTACCAAATCAGTTTTTTTTTCAGTAACATTCACATTCCCTGCAATAGGCCTCAGGGTCCACCAATAGATTTGTTGGCTCCAAAATTATCTTTTCCTAAAATTGCAACCATATTCTTCCCCTAATTTTTAAATACAATTACTTAGAACATCCACAAACAATCAAATCTTTAGTGTAGTCTTTGCTCAATTGATACAACCAAATGATGTACCAACAACACACACATGTTGTATGCTGTACTGTATTTTGTAATTTAATATTTTAAACATTAGTAATTTATTATATTATAATTTATTTATTAGTATACTGTGGATAGCTTGTTATAAACACAAGCTACAAGTGTTTTGTTTACATTTTCCTAGTTATTTTATTCAACCAACATAGTTACTTGGCAAGGGTAAAAGGCCAATGATAAATTTTTACATTTTCAAACAAGTTGTTTAGTGAAATACTTACTAATTTTCCTGAGATAGTGGTTGAGTGAATTCAAGTGAAATATTGTTATGTTATTAATTTAAAATGTAAAGAAGAAAACTACTTACGTTAGATTTTGTGTTTTCATAGTATGTTTAATTAGTATTTGTAATTTTTATAAGATGTTTCGAAGAGCAGAAGATCACACACATACAAGGGGAATAATAGGGCACGCGATGCAAATAATAGGGATTTGGTGATTATAATGATGACAAATAGAAAATTGTAAATTAATTCAAATATATCACGGTTCTTTAAGTCACGAAATGACGCTGGCTGCTACTATGTTCTAAAATTGATTTCTTAGGTATAATAATCTTACCAAATCTTATAAGGCTAATAACTAAACAACAATAAACTGTGTTCGCAGAACAATCATAGGGTAGCTTCAAATTAAAAAAATGCTCTTGATCTAAATCTTGAAGACTTGATCTGTCTGATTTTCTTGGTTCTTTATTAAAATAACAAATCCACAAATTATCAGAGTTTACACTTGACAAAGTCAATCAATAATTATTCACATAAACATTGAGTTTAGTGTTGTGTCAAGACTTAACCTAGTTACAGTAGACTCTCGCTCATCCGGATCGGCCTTGTCCGGACTCCCGGTAGTCCGGATCGATTTTTTTTAGCGGCACAGTACAGTAGAAGTCCAATTATCTGAGCAAAACGGGACCGAGACTACCTCGAATAATGAAAAAAATCGGATAACACGGTGGTAAAAATTATTACCGGTGGAAGTGCATACTGCATAAGCCCGGGCTATTATTACTGTGGACCTGGAACAAAATTCGGCCGTAAAGATTATTACCGGAGGATGTGCATATTCCCGTGCTATCATTACTGTGGACCTGGAACTAAATTGAAAAAACGGCTATATACAGTACTGTGTATTTGCTCGACTCTCGATAGTCCGGATTTTTCGTAATCCGGACCGGACGTCCGCCACATTAGTCCGGATGAGCGAGAGTCTACTGTACGGTCAAACACCAAATATCCAAATAAATTGGTACTGAAACACATTTGGATTATGAAAAAAGGTAAAGATTGGATTTTTAACAAAATATGAGGTGTTTGATATAAAATAGGCTGAGTCGAGTCAAGCTTAAACCATCACGATCACAGAATACATCTGCAAAGATTTCCGGATCAAGAAATTTATGCTTTCACTCGATCGCGGAGGACAACGATGATTCTTTTTTACTGCGAAAGACAATGATCCTGTCTTCACGACAATCATTTTTAAGATTTGGCTGCGATCATTGAAAAAGTTAATGATGTTATAACAGGTTACACACCTTGACGTAAACAATTCCTCAGACGACCTTCTGTTAACTAGTTTCGACTACTATGTAGTCATTTTCAAAACAATAACGTTAAATTTCATTCATTGTATGTCGTCAAATTTCTTAAAAACATTACAACACGGTACTTTTACACATTAACACGGTAGACATTTAACATAAATTTGACAGTGCTGTCTTCCTGATTCCTCTCTGGTAATCTTTTCCGGTCCTTTGTTAGCTAGTAAGAGACGGCACCCTAGTACAAGGGATTCTTTTCGCACTGAGTGCTAAGGTGGTGTGCATCTAGCAGGAAGTTGTGCTTATTTCTTGTGTTGAGTGCAGGTTTTCCATCCTAGTCCTTCAGGGGAAAAACATTGTATGTGCTCTGAGTCTTCTGTGTATACAATGACATACTTGGTTTTTTTTAAGGTAAGCTAGCTTTTATCCCTTTGCTCTAACAATCACAATCCTAGCACAGAGCTTTTCACACAAACATGTAAGACACATCATTCACACTTACTTTCCCAAAGCTGCCTTTTCCGAGCACCTTGAGGAACTGGAAGTCCTCCATAGTGTATTTGCGGAACTTTGGTATGGTGGTGGCCGGTGGAGTGACTCGGCCTGCTCCGGTAGCCCCGCTACCATGACGGTGTGACTCCTCCTCCAGGCTGAGAGCTGCATTGCTATGGCGACGTGTAGGGGAGCCATGATCACGGGACTCGGACGATCCTAACCGGAAACACAATTACTGTTAGGAAGGTTAAATAAAAGAATACCTAAACAGGTGTTTATCTGAGAAGGTAAATGTTTTCCTCATCACATTAACAAAATAAGATGATTGATAGTGTCCAGAAAAATAGCAGTTTTTTATAAAAAATACATAAGTAAGTTTTAAGCGGCAACATGTGAAAAGACAGCTGAAGAGCTGGTGCTAGCATAGAATGAATGCATTTAGATAGTAGAAAGCAAAGTTATTAACAGCGATTCAACATATTTGTAGTGTTATTTATGAATGAAAACTTTGTTTTTAACTGAGAATATTTTAAATCATTAATAATAGAATAATACTTTTAAATAAAACCTAAAATAACTTTTTAATATAAAAAATTAAGTACAACACAGGATTAAGGTTTTTGCCCACGTTCATCAAAGGCTTTAGACGATTACAGTATCATCAAATCTTGTAGTTCACAAAGGGTTAGAGAGCCAAATAATAGTACATTACCCATTAATTTGAAAATTATATTTAAAAAAAGTTAATGTGTAGACCAAACAAGATAAAATCGTAACATTTAATTCTTCCAATGACTGAATTAGAATCTTTAACTTATGGCAAATAAGAAATGCAGTATGTTACTAATCCAAACATTTCACTCTAAAATTACTATGCCACATATATCTTGATACAGGCGATCAGCAGCAAAAAGCAATAGAAAGAGTATGAACAAGTCTTATACATTGTCGTACACTATAGCTATAACATTTATTACTTACTTACACAAAAATAGTTTTTAAAACTTCTAATATAATTGTGTCATTAAAAATTGGTTTACCTGAAGTGTTGTCCAGACTTAAGGCATGTTAGAGCTACAACACAAGACACATGTTAGTCAAACATGAAGGATCAAACATAAATCTTCAAGCCATGCAAGAGTTTAATAACATATAATAAGTACAAACACTCAAATATTTTGAGCTTTTTAGATATTAACACCAATGAGAATTTTAAAAATCTTAATTATTTCAAATAATTGCATATCTGTTTATGTCTATATTGGTTCGTGTTTACATTTTCTTTTTCGTGCTAAATGTTTTGATTTAAAAAATATCCATATATTCATGTCTCATTAAATCATCTCTATTTTAAATTCACAAGAATATTTTCCCTGAGTAATAATTAGGCCTTGTATCCAATAATGACAAAGATTCAAATTTGTGAATTTGTCTGTTTAGAAAAGCTGTTCTATAACATATTGCTATCACGGTACCAATAAAATATTTACTGGATTATATCAAATCTGAAACTAATCTGCTTTAATATTCATGCATCGCAACATGACAAGTCTTGACAACATTAAACTCTGCCTGCAATTCTATTTGCTGAGTGTTGATATAACTAGACATTCCATCCTCATTAGCCAGTATTTAAATCAAAATGGAAGAAGTTGAATTGAACCTTGAGCTACTGACAGATCGAACTCGTGTAAATTATTGATTTCTGTTGAGTCTGCAGACTTTTTAACCGAGTCAAACTGATAGAAAAACTCATTGTAAGCTATCATTATCATATGTAAGTCACATAAATTATTTCAGTAAAAAACTTACGCTCGAAAAAATTATTTTATACGCCTACATAATCTATAATTACTCCATTCTTTTTAGTTTTTACAATTTGGTTTACAATTTGTTTCTTGTTATTTCAGTCATTTAAAACCTCATTTAACCAAATAAAACGACCTAATCAAGAAAATAACTTAACCTCTAGTTGTATAACCTAAGAGTAAAGCACAAATCATAAAATTAATCCTAAAATAATAGAAACAATATTTCGTCGACAATAGCGATCAGCGTCACCGGACATGAACTAGACATGAAAAACAAGCTTCAAAATTTACAAAGTGATGAGAAGTCTACTTGTGTTGGTTAGTCTATGATATAGACGCTACTACAGCATCCAAAAGTAAATTTGATTAGATACCCATGGATATCTAATCAAATTGATAGACTTATCATTTATATGAACCAGCTGTTAAATATTTATTCAAGAAGAAAATGTTAGAATAAATTGACATCAAGTTGTCCTTACAGTTTGGTAATTTTTAAATGATAGTGTATACAACAGAAATGAGGAAATTGAGAGCACTACAATCTGTTGAATGATCAATTCAGCTATCATCATTTTTATTCTAAAACTAGCAAAATATGAATGGAATGCCTAACTCTCTTATGAATAACTTGCAGAATGTTTCAAACTCTTTTAATGACGTTAGAAACACATGTTGCACAATAAAATAAAGCACTAGCTGTAAAGCAAGTGGAACAAGATGCTGAGATATCTACAAAAGAATAAATAGAATGGCTTGAAAATGAAATTGGAGGAATAGGCAAGCATGTTTCTTGAAAACCTTTTTTCTCAGTTCGTGTTCATCGTAGGGAGAATCTACGCATACTGTTAGAAAGATATTTTCCTTTAGATGTACAAAATCCCTTTATCCATTTAAAATAGGCTCAAAATAAGCAAAAAAATTGATTACATTTTTTTTTATCAACATGGACCTTATGGGTTGCCATGGTGGTGAAGAAATGACAATTAAATATGAACAGAAAATCAAAACAAATTGAAGAAATTTCAATCATATGTTTTATTTAGGCCTACAGCGTGGGGTGAAAATAAAGGAGTCTGCACATTACATATTTTTGATATCTAGTATTAATTATTAAGCTTCATATGCTTAGTACGTTTTAAAAACAAATAGGCTCTTATCAATTCTATCTAACTAAAACGTTATAAAAGTTTGCCAAACGCAGATAACACACCGACACTGTCAATTACAGCATTGTAAATGGTCCAAAACATCTCCGTTATTTCCATCGCCATGGATTGTTTCCATGTAATAAGTGACCGCAAGATCAAATTTATCTGAACTGAAAGCGGCGTCAGTGGAGTACGACACATCGTTCGTGGTAAGAATTTGGCAAAGACACAACGATACAGACAATCGCTGTTGTCTTGTAAATTGTCAACAGTCTGTCGGGCCACATATGTTGTTGGGAAAATGTAAACTTACGATGTTTACAGCGATAAACATCAGGCCTACAGGGTCGGTCAGCTTATACAAATAGTTGAAAATATATTCCTACAAGCACATTATAAAGCAACATCAAGGGATAGACATATGTAACAGGTTTTATAAATAGTAAAAGAATAAACGCAATTTATTCAAGAAGGCAAGGCTAAACAACGTCAAATGGCCTTTCACTCATTGACATAGCTTTGAATTTCATCAAGAAAATTGAGTTGTGTATTTTCTTTAACTAGTTGTATTGGTGAGATTCGATGTTATGGTGTTTTAAATGTAGAAAAACATCCATGAACAAAAGAGGTATGTTGTGATGTTATGTGTGGCATATGAGAAATACATAAAGGTTTACTATGTAAGGCCTAAGTTTACATTTTTAGCCCTTTTTCTCAAATTCCAGCATTTCCCAAATTGAGCACCCTTCTAGTCAACATCATAACAAGTTTGTGGGGTTGTACACTGTACAAAGAGGTAGACGAAAAAAACTCTTTTGTTTTACAAGCCCTCCACGTTTTAATTTATGTTATTTAAATGACAGAAACTTTCTTCAGTGCTTACTAGCACAAAGAGGGCGTTATTCGACAATGTTATTCTGGCAGGGACGCCCACGCCAACAACCTGCCAGGTCCGGAATACCAGGGAGTCACACGCCAAAACCTAGGCAGTGCGGCTGAGAATATCATGACACTCATATCTTATTGGCATAACTCAGTACTTCTGCGGCTAACCTGCATACTCGGAATATGTATGAGGTAAAATAGGTATTGCTTACTACAAACATTCTAAGAGTTGTGAAAGGATTTTGTGATCAACAGAAAATAACGAGACTTGTTGTTATTTCAGTATACCAACTCGTCTGTTACGTAAAATTTAATTGTTTCTGTAAAGGCTTGCTAAATAAAGACCTTTTTATTTATTATCTATTTATAACAGAGCCTAGGTCAGATGATCTAAAACGTCTCTTTGATTATTTTTCCTTACTATTTTCCCATGGTAACTTTTAACTGCTAATACAACTACCAGCGCAGACATTATTCTATATTATTACAGGATCAAGTAAAGTAATCCAAGTCTATAGATTTCGATAAAAGGTTAATCCAACCAGTATTAAACCAGTATTCAGAATGGATATACTGTACCAATATATATTTTTGACTGAGACAGAAGTGTTTAATCCATGTCGTTCAAGAGAGTGTCTACTCTAAGTAAATTTTAGCTTTTGTTTCCTGCATTGTACGAGATCAAGTGTAAGGCTATGATGACTACAACAAGTAGAAATTCAACAAGTACTCATATATTGAAGCAAAAAAAGTCCAGGAAGGTCTTGTTGACTGAAACCATTTTAGACTATTGAACGAATTGTTTTAATCTTAAATTATTAAAGAATTGTCAACATTTATAGTAATAGCATTTCTTTTAGAATAGTTGGACATTTTTATAACATGTTTGTTATGCCTGAAGCCTTAATTTGGGTTTACCTGAAAAATAGTATACATTTTTAACAATGGCAAGGAGAATTATAAAGGCAAACTCAATTTCCTGTACTCTTATTGGTGTTTTTTCATACAAAACATCTTGGAATTATAATATTTAAAAATTTGCAAATAAACAAACAATATACTGCCATACATAAATAAAAGCTGTAACATTTAAAATCATAATGGCTCTTGTTTTTATAAGCACACAACTTCTCTACTGCAATAACTCAATTACAAAATTCTCAACATCCATTGGTTGCCCAACCGTTAAATCTTTTAATAGTAACCTTTGGAAGTTGCAGCCCCGGTCATCGGCCTATCTGTTAACCTTATTCTGGCCTTAGGCCATCAGGCTTTATTTTAAGCCCTGCTTACTGTATTACACTATTATTCTTGGCTAAATAAACAGCCTATCTATTGACAATTGAAGAGGCAGTCGATATTTTTGTGTTTAAACATTTAAAATTAGATCCTTTTAAAGTAAATATTTTTATAAGTATTGGATTAAATTTTAAATAGATTGGACAGCAAGGTTTTGTACTGTATGTGTGCGTGGTTATTTTAATGACAATATTGTTGAACATTCATCAAGAAAACAGAAGATTTAACAATGAGACAACCTGAGCCTTGGAACTATAGTCGTCATACTATTGACAGAGGTAAAAGTAACGGACCCTAATTATTTTGAAGGATTTTTCGTCATTAGGAAACTATGAAAGTTGTGTGAATCCCATAAGTTACAGGTTGACTCCAGTGAACAATCTATTTTCTGCACTGTAATTACAAATCACCAAAAAACCGTGTCTAGTTTTGATAAGCTTAATGACCTTGTTTATACCTTGTTATGAGGCTTATCAGGAACTAATTGCGATTAGTAATGAATGAAACTTGTGGCGGTGAACGCCCCTGTATGCTATCAGATATTTGATCCATGGATAGGTAGCACAAGGATTGGAGCAAGTACGACACACACAGAGTTGTTCCATGTTTTAAAACACTTTTAGAGGCTGGGATCATGGACTCACAGACCACAGTGATACAGGATACAACTATATCCTTCCAATCATGAAAACCAAGAAATGCTTGAGGCGACAACATACAAATAAAAAGCAATATGTACATTGTCTGAATTGTTTGGCTGTTGGTTCAAAGTGTCCATGGCACCAAGGTCAATGCTTGTTATTAATGCAATGCTTTAGCATGGAAAGGTGAAGCCAAGGGGGTGTGTTGCGGTAGCAGCAAAGTGACTTAACCGTCTTCAGGTGCTATATTTCATAGGGGGTGAATTTATTTTTTCGTTCAAAAATTTACCTGAGCAAAGAGTAGGCCAAACAGTTTGTATTTTGATAAATGGGAGAGAATATATATACCTTGCACAGCTTAACTCTGAATAGATTAAAAAAACATTGGGACTCTTTTTGCGTAATCTGTAATGAAAATATTTGTATACATTGCATTGATCCTGAATGAACAGTTTTTGCATCATACTAATTGTACTGACATGTCACCTTTTCATTTCTGAATTTGAGCCATGAATTTGTGTGATGACTAAATTGAATTGGAAAAAGTAACAGGTCCTTAGGTCTACAATAGTGAAGAGCAGTAGTGTCTTCAAGAATGTTCCAACACTCAATACACATCCAGTGGTGACAGAGAGTCTTTGATACATGTTAGAACTGAAAACTGTGATAAAGCATATTTTTAGTTGTGATGTGAAATTATAACCACCTAAAATTCAAGGAGGTATGGCAAGGAAATAGTCAGTTATGGACTAAACTGGGATGAACTTATTTTGGTTTTAACTGAATAAAAGTTTTTGACAATAATAATTTTTCTGAAACTATGGATAAAATGTTTAAACATTAATACAGCTAACACAAAACGAGTAATAGCCAAACCGTGTGACAGTATGAAACAGTGGTCAGAAAGGTTGGTGTCTCATTTCTACGCTGGTGACAAGGTTTATAACTGTATAATAAATTACCTAATATAATCTTTGATGATATGAAATTATAGTATAAAAGCTCATCTAAAATTTATGTTATACCGGTAAGGCGGTAAATGATTTATTTTCTATATTTTTCTATACCGTATAGTTATTTTATTTTCTGGATGGAATTTGTAAAAAAAATTATCATTAGAAAAGAAATTAATTTGAAATCTGAACTGTTTATTTTTAACTAGATAAAATAATATGCTTTGTTACCTTGGAGTGTTTTTAAAAAGTTAAAAGTAAATGGGTTTACTTAAAAAAACCATTGGTTTTGATACAATGCCATGATCTTTGAGCTGGTTAAAGAGGTGCCAGTGTATTTGGAACTGTCTGCCAAAACCAATACACTTCTGAGTGACTTATAAAAATATGATTATAACCTCAATCTACAAGGTTAAAGACATCTATTGATGTTAGGATTACAAATGTGAATACAGAGGAGTAACCTAATCGATAAAAGATAATCTAACAGGGTAGCAAGTTATTTTTGCTCTAAGATAGCCAAATTAGAATACAATCTTCATAATAAAGACCTGAAAGTTTTACCTGGAACCAACTGAAAGTTAAACGTAAGTTAGAGTTACAGTGATTAGTTGTTTAAAAAAATGTTTTCAATGTTTAAAAAACCGTCAAATTGTATAAATAAACTAAGTACATACAACAGCTTAGTAAAACCTATTTGCATAGAAAATTGGTGACGGAAAAAAATTCAAACCAAACAACCAAGCATCAAAGAGTATTTTTTACACCTCATTAAACAAACCTAGTAGGAAATGGTCAAATGATCGACAAAAATAACACTCTTGACAAAACAGAACACATGGAGTGAATATATTCCCTCTACCAGGACAAGTAGAATGTTCTCTGGGTCTTTGCCAGACGTGACAAGAGTCAAAGACCTAAAATACGACAACGTTGCAACTGTTGGATGATGAAAACAGACAATATTTCTCGATTAAACAGCGTTTTGGAGTTAATGAGCCAATTAATGATACTGATCGTAAATATTCTTAATGAGCAGATTTTTAACATACAATGAGTAGGGTAGTACAAAAAAGGGGACAATAGACCACTTATTGTTGTGGTTTCAGCACTTTTGTCTTGTCCAGATTTACACATTGCAAAAACTGAAGACAAAGGTTTTTCAAAGTTGTTTACTATATTTATTAAAATGAAAGATTTTTAGTCCATCAGTCTCATCTTTATTTAGCTAGTCATTTAGTTAGGCTAGTGCTAGATAAATTATGACTTTATTAATTGGACAGCCATGAATGTGATCTTTGAGGTAAGTCCTTTGCCATTCAAAACCAAACAGCCCTTTAAATCGTTCAGCAAAACCAATTAAAATACCTATTTCAAATATGATATCCCTGCAAAATCGTTATTCTTAACACAAATTGTGGTTAAGGGCTTTCACCGGGACTAGGCCGGGACTTTACATAAGTATTTGATTTCAATATGATATAAAAAAATAACAGGTGGATTGGTTAATCTTAAACAACAAAATTGAAAAGATGAATGTTAGTTTTTGAAAATACTTTTTTACATAAATTTTTATTCGCTTACAAAAGTAATAATTAGATTTTAACATTACAACAACAGAAAAGAGGAATAACAGAGAACATACATAGTAGATATTTATTTTTTATACTTATTTCTTTCAAGAACTACTACTTACTTGCAAATAAATTAAGACAATTAACTTAAGTCTTGGTAAAAGAAAAATTACTAACACACAACACTTGAACCTCCGATGACAAAATTGATGTAGTATTTAGCCAATCTATTGGTTTGCATCGTGAACTATGGCAAGAGGGATAATTTGATACACCCCACACATCTACAAAAATACGAAACCAACGTAGATACTAGCTAAAACAAGATTCGATTTGGAGGTCAAATCCAACCGAAACTACGCAATCACTTCCCGATTTATTTTGATCTGGGGACAAAAGAAATGTGACCATGTGCGCCATCTCACAACGCAAAGAGAAAAAGAGAGAATGATTGCGGCCCAAAATAGAAAAACAGTTGAAAATAAATAGCTGCTGGTTGCCAGAAGCTTTTATACGTTGGCGCAGGACTCGGAAATCATTACGCGAGACGCGGCATCACGTGGGGTGATTGATCGTCATATCTAATTGTACACAGAATGTCGCCAAAAACTGTTATCCACGATGCAGTGAAACTCGTTACAATTGCTATCTACAGTATATCCTGTTTTTTATATTTTATGAACCAATCTCGTAGACCAAATACAAAAACTATTTTCATCTAAATTTTGTTATAAGTTTGCATATTGGAGTTCTACTATTTGTGACAACTTAATCCATTCTACATTTTTATTTAATACCGTACATTATACGTTTTGTGAGAGGTTAAAGTTAGTAAAAAAAGTTATTAGCAAAGTAAGATTTATACGTTATTGAGAAATAATGTCTTAATAGTACCAGAAAAATATAAGTCAATACTGTCAAAATAATATTTACTTAAACGTGTTGGATACACAGTACAATGTTTGGTTGTTAAAATAACCTTTATAAAATTAACTCTCTGTTATCATACATCATCAACATATATGCATACAGTTTATGTTAGTCTACAATTTTAGAAATTTGGGTAGCCCATACAAAAGATTCCAATGTTACTTAAGGGGACATATTGAATTAAAACTTGTGTGTTGCAAGTAGCTAAATAATCATATACACCCAGGTGTTTATGATAATGGTAAAGTCCCAAGATATAGGCATGGACATAGTTTATTCATGAATTACCTGCAGTTTAAATTACCTGGGTTTACATCACTACACATAGCTTATTTAGCAACAGAATTTATAAACAAAATATAATTTAAGGGACTAAGTTTCTGTGAAGATTTGCAGTTTGGCACCTGCTAGGCTATATCCAGCCCATTACCACACATCTATTCTTACCTCTGTCCAGAAATAGTCTCAAAGTAAATAGTGAAGGACGGGGCTTTTCACTTTTAATCACTCTTTACTTTAACAAATTATTAATTAAAATAATCTTAAATCAAATACAACACTGGGGTTGAATGAAAATTACCACTGTAGCCAAAAAAACTGAACTCTACCAGTTTGTACAACCCTAAAACAATAATTATTTGTGAAAAAGGTTTATATATATATTAAATTAACTAATAGTTGAATAACATAAAATTCAGAATATACACGAGACATTAAATAAATTAATAAAACAAAAATTAACATATTCGATTTTTTTAACTTTCAAAACATGCACAACAGTAATATTAAATTAAACAACTCAATTCTAAAAAATAAGATTATTTGAAAGAAAAAACTGAACAGAGTTTATCAAGACAGCAAATTGTACTTACCCTTCCTCAAGGAAGACAGTGCCTCTACGATAAGTTTTTGGTTAACACCACACAAATTCGGCATCAACTTTTCACACTTGCGGTGGCAGTTGACATCACACTCTACAAAGCAGACCAAAGTTTTGGCAACTATTGTAAACGTTGTCGAGCGTTCACTCAACCTCAACATGAACAAATTAGTCCGGTTTTGAAATTGTACAAAGTACTGTTAAATTTTGATAAAACAATGTAACAAAGGTTAACATATAATTTCATGAAAAAAAGATTGAATTACGATTAAATACAATATTGTTCTGTGTACTCAAAATTGAATTTTTTTTCACCAACCAACAAATTTCATATTTATTAAATATGTTAAATATTAAAACTATGTATTATCCTATATCCTATACTCTTAAATGAGTAATGTTTGCTGCCCAAAGTTCTCGTAAACGGCTTTGACGATTTCCTTTAAATGATGTCAATAATTTATAACTAGCCTAAAATCGTGTTGACTGCAGTTAAAACCGCCAACAAAAATTCTAATTACGTAAAAAATGAAATTGTAAGTCAAAATTGTTTAACATTGGCCGTATGGGTTGCTAAGTAACCATGATGGTTGAACAAAATAACAAGGAAAAGCAAACAAAAGACTTGTAACATGTGTTTGCAAAAATTCATCCACAGTATACTAGCAAATTACAAAACAGTACAAAGGGAAACACATCAGTTGTTACTATTGAGCAAAGATTACACTGAAGATTACTTGATATAGGGTACAATGGTAATAAATTATGCCACGGTCCCCAGGTACTATTTTTAAATATCTTAACTTTAATCTTGACTCTGAAATAAAGGGGTTTTAAAAATAATTTTGCCCTTAGTAGCAGCTACGAAAAAAGTAAAAGTAAGTAAGTGGTAAAAATAAGTAGAAAAAGTACCGGGTGTTTCAAAATGAATAGCTGGGTTTTAACGCTTTATAACTTTTATACTATTAAACCTACCACCATAAAATACGCATCATATGAAAAAGCAACTCAAAGAGTTTATGCCTTCCAAAGACACATTATTTAACAAAATCGATCCAGCAGAACTGTAGATTTAATTGTACAAAGTTAAAAAGTAATCTCCAACTTTTTTCATCACTAGAAATTCGGAGGTTGCTTGATGTTTTTGCAAATAACTTTTAAATGGTGAGGAAATCGACCAAAGTGGAAGGTAATATTCCGAAAGAGAATAAAATTGCCTACAATCTACTGTGATGCATTTTTTGAAAATACTCAAGAAAGGTACCAAAAATCCCCGTCTTCAATATAGACAATAAACATAGCAAACATTAGATTTCACACTTTTTTATTTTAAGCCAAATTTAGGCCACATTTATTGAGTATTTTCATGAAATGCATAGTAGTAGATTGTAGGAAATTTTATTCTCTTTCGGAATATTACCTTCTACTTTGGTCGATTTCCTCACCATTTAAAAGTTATTTGCAAAAACGTCAAGAACCTCCGAATTTCTAGTGGTGAAAAAAAGTTGGAGATTACTTTTTAACTTTGTACAATTAAATCTACAGTTCTGCTGGATCAATTTTGTTAAATGATGTGTCTTTGGAAGGCATAAACTCTTTGAGCTGTTTTTTTATTTGATGCATATCTTATAGTGGTAGGTTTAATAGTATAAAAGTTATTAATCGTTAAAACCCAGCTATTCATTTTGAAACACCCGGTACTTTTCTAACACACCTAAACATTACACAGCTGAAAAAAAAATCAGAAAATGACTTGATTTTATAAATAGAACCAAAAAAGTACCTTAAGAAGAATGATGTGGTTTACAATTAAAATTTTTGAAGTTGGCCGCTGTGCTTAAAACATAAATTAAGTTTTCAAAAATTAAAATGCACAATTTTTGAAGTAGGCCTACAAACTAGTAGGTAACGCACCCATAAAAAACACTGTCTTTTCTTTCGGGAAGAGCCATCTTACAGCCAAAGCAGCCAAGATTACGGTCATATAATGCTTACAACTATAAATGTGTAGGAAATGTACCTAAGTACAGTAGACTGTTGGTAATCTACCGGTGCACTAATCCAGCACTTTCATTCATCAAGCGATATTACATCCATAATTTTGTTACTTTTAAAAAAAAGTTAAAAGAAATTGATTTTATATAATTTTTTTATCAAATCAAGTAAATGACAATAATATAATTAACACTATTCAGAACATTAAATCCGAAAGGAAAATATTTTAATGCTAAATAAATATTAAACTGGACTCTTTGGTTTCTTTCAAAATATGGTGAAATTGAATGTACCTGTCAACAATTTTATTTATTTCATTTTTGTGTAGTCTCGAGGTGCTTATCAAATAGACAAATTGTAAATCATCTTCTTGTTTTAATTTTGTTTACTCGATGACAGTTAGAACTTGATATACCATTTTTGGCTAATTTTACTATTTTGAAGAGCAACTGTTCTAATTTCGATTTCAGTGTGAAATTGTTCAAATTTTGATATAAGTCAGATCAGCACCCTAGTTCTTGGCTGGTTGGTTAAGTTGGTGTGAATCAATATTAAATGTTTGTTTCTTTAATTGGTGGTAAGTGTGTAGTTGTTTGTTTTTCTTAATCCATATATAAAGCCCAAAGTACCCATGAACTTTTGAGAAAACTACAAGTCACACTCCCATAAACCATAAACTTAAAATGTTCGTCATAATTTTGGCTTTGGGAAGATTAAAGAAGACCTGTATAGTATAAAACTAGTTTACCCTTACTTAATATCAACGACTCTATGCAATAAAACTAGTGAGATTATGGAAAAAAGTGCTAAAAGTATTTTTGGGAGTGTTCTAGGAATGTTAAGCTCTTCCAGTAATCAGAGGTTCCAGTTACAGTCACATAAAATTAAAAATTTGCTGATTCAGGTATCAGCAGATGTTATGTCCTAGGATCATTTCCCCCTAACATTACTACTGACGATTATTTTGTTTATCTGTTTCATCCAGTGCACCCAATTGAGAATCTTCAGAAAAATAAATAATCATAAACTTTATTGACTTGGATGTACAGTGTCACAGAAAAAATTTAAATTTGTAAATGTGAATATAAGCCTAAAAAATGTATAGCCTTTTCTAAGCCCCATTTCATATTTTTAATAGCACTGTTACCTGTAGCCCAATAAAATACTACTTAATATAACTTTTACAAATGGTAGAATGTGAGAAATAATCATTCATAGCGCATCAGTAAGTTTCAACTAAATCAATATTTAAATAGATAAATTTAGTAGATTTCAATACCACGGTGGGTTCATAGACATTGAAAAATCGAGAATAATAGTTTACATAAAATATAGTTGCCAAAACTGGTTGTTAAATAGCATAAGCAAAAAATAATAATAAAAAGTACATTTTGTATTGTGAATGTAAGATTGTACATTAGCATTTGAAAAAAAAACACGATGAAATCATAGAGATTTGTAATGTACGGGAAAGCTACAAGCGATGAAGTATTTTAAAGCTCTTACCTACATGAAAAAACATATAACTATTCAACCATTTATGTTTGATAAATTAAAAAATAAACCCCCACAAATAATGATAGCACACAACAAACTAGCCGATCCTGACTCTTAACAAGGTCCATGACAATAATCTATTAAAAGATACACAGCCAAACATACCATCGGAAGAATCATCAGTCAGTGTGTCTTCTTCACTGTCGGATGTGTATTCACTCTCACTAGAATACTCGGATGATGACGATGAGCTTATATCTTCGTCACTGTAGTCTATAAAGATATTGTCGTCGTCTTCACTTAGCCTCATACATTTATTGATGAAATGCAACAAACGGGTACTACGTTTAGACAACTCTCGTGAACTTGTTTCCTTTTCTTCTTTTGTGACAGTGGTTGTTGTAACAGTTTCTGTTGAAGATGTTTTTGACTCTATTGTAGTTTTGATGTTAACATTTTCTGAAGTTTTCAACGTTTCTTTATCTTTCTTTGAATGTTTGTCTTTATTTTCCTTTGACAAGGTCTTTTTCTTTTTCTTGCTGCTGTCCTTGTCTTTGCTTTTCTTTTTCTTCTTGGAGCTTTTGTCTGTCACACCTTCCTTCATTGATTGAGATTTTTCACATGGTATGTCACTTGATTCTTTTAATGAACTATTAGACTTATTTGAACATTCATCATCTAACAAATCTGATTCTGATTTGATTCTTTTCTTTTTATCTTTATTAACTTTGATTGTCTTATTTTCATCTTCGATCAATTTACTAGCTGCAATTTTCTCAGTATTATTTCCATTCAAATGTTTCCCTTCACCTGACGTTTCTTTGCTTTTATCAGCTTTGTTTGTTTGATTACCTTTTACCTCAGTTATCTCAGGTTTTTCTTGAGACTTTGGTTTAGTCATTGGTGGTTTGGCTTGATTAAATGATTCACATTTTAACTTAGATTCAGATGGTTTGGATTCAGTTTGCATTGTTGTTTTATCTTGTTTTGCATCCTTTTCTATCTTAATATGGCTAACTGTAGAGTTGTCTTCAGTTTGTTTAACATTGTTCAAATTTTTCCGGTCATCTAAGGTAGATGGAGTTAAGCCTTTTGAATCCATTCCTGTCTTAGGAATATCAGCTTTAGTTTTTACAGCAGAATGATCATCTTTGTTCAGAGGTGTGTTGTCACATTTGGTTAAATCTATCTTTCCTTTAATATTGATTCCTAAGGCCTTATCATTTGTTACATCAGTTTTCTTTGTGAGAATATCACTGCCTTTATTACAACTTTCATCCTTCTTAATCATTTCAATTTTTTTCAGATTATTTTTTAGGACAATTTCAGGTTTAATAGTTTTATTTTGGCATGGTAATGAATTGTTACTATCTTTTCCTAAATGTTTGTTCAAGATAATATTTTTGTCAGTAGGTTTTTCATTGTTTGTTAATGGTTTTACTAGTGCTTCTTCCCCAGTGGTTGTTTCTGTTGCAGATGTGTTGCAAACTTTATTGCCTTCTTTTCTTTCAGAGACTTTTACTTCATCTAAAGATAAATTTTCATTTGCAGTCGGAGATTTTACAATTTTATTGCTATTAAAATCCAATTCTTTTTCCACAGTTTTTTCTTTGGCCTCTTTATTTTTGGTCAATGAAAAAGGAGTTTCTACTGCATCACTTCTAGTTAAGAATGCTTTGTTTTTAGTGTTGAGCTGAGCTACCTTTTCTTTACTTATTCCTTGACTATCAATACTGCTGTCGGTTTTTCTTACGTTTAATGCAGGATCTTCTTTTATCTTACTGGGTCCTTTGTTTGGGGGATCCGTAGCTATTTTAGGTACAGCCATTTCTTTTTTGGCAATGCCATGAACTGTTTTGTCAGTCTTTACACCTTGTTGTGTTTGTTCCTTTTCATTTTTCACAATTTTGATTTTATCGTCCTCTTTTCTGGGTGGTTGGTTTAGATTTTCTTCGAGGGATTTAGATTTGGTTTCAATTTTTTTATCACCACCTAAAACATCACTGGATTTACTCTTGTTTTGATTTTTAGCTTTGTCTGCTGCTTTATCACTTTGTGTGGTTGATGTAAGAGTTATGTCAGATTTCATTCCTTGGTCGCCTTTATTAATGATTGGGTCCGATTCAGTTTTGTTTTTTGTTAAGAATAGTTTTTTTGTCATAATCGGAGTACCAGGCTCTGATTTGGGAGCAACATTCATTGGAAGTTTTCTTCCTAGATCAGGAGTTAAGCTTTTTTGCTTACTAGTAATAAATTTGCCTTCTAATTCTGCTTTAACATTTTCTTTATTGTCTTTGGGTTTATATTCTTTTGAGATGGGCGTCAAAGTAATGCTGGGAAGTACAGAATCCTTCAGGTTCTCTCCATTATCAGTTGGAGAGGCTGGTACAACATTATTTTCAGTTGCTTTACTATCAGTGTTTGCGATGTCTTGTTTGGTATTATTTGCTACTGTCTTGGGTACTGATGAAGGAGGTTTACTTTGTAAATTTTTATTGGGTAATATCTTGGCATTATCTGATTTTACATTAGCATCGTCAACTACTAGTGACTTCAAACCTTTTATTTTCTTTTCAGCTTCTTCCCTAACAGTTAGTTCTTTGTCAACAAATTGCTGAGATCCTGATTTAGTATCTTCGATCTTTTGTTTTATAACTTGGTCGAGTATTGGCAGTTTCTTTAAAGCTATGTCATCAGCTTTATTTTTATCTGCAATCCCTTTAGCAAGTTTTTCTGTCTTTTTTACAAAATTATCAACTTTAGATTTAGAATCATCTTTACTTTTTTCTATCTGGCCTTTTTGGGGATCTATTTCACTTGGAATTTTGTCTAAAGTATCACATTTATTATCACAAACATTGCTTGTAAGAATTACATTGGCAATAACACTTGCTTTGTTAGTAGGGTTAGTAAATGTATCACTTTTTACACTATCTTCTTCCTTTGACAGCAGTTGCTGTTCATACTTTGGAATGTCTTCTTTTTTTATATGTTTGACAGTTTTGAGCTTAACAGAACCTATGTCACTACTTTTATTTTCTTCAACAATTACTTGATACTGAAACTTTGCTAACGCTTTTGGAGTTGATTTTTCTTCAACCAATAAAGAGTCTATTTTAAACTTTGGAGGTTTCTTCTTCTTTGTTGATCTCCTCTTTTTCACTTTAGTGTCGTCTTTGACCTCCATATTACTAGAATCACTACCTGAAAGACTGTCACAAGCGTTTAATTCATCTAACGGCAAAGTTTTTGAGGTCTTTTTCTTTCGCACATGTGATTTTCTTTTCCCAACCAAAACACCATTTTCATCTAAAATCACATCAACTGAAGATTTTCTCCTTCCATACGGTATTTGATCTCTTTTAATTTTAGATTTTCTTCTTGTCAGGACAGAACCATCAGTTCCAACTTCGTTATTTTGATTATCGATTTTCATTTCCTTCAAGTTGCTCAAACCTAACTCTTCTTGAATCATAGAATCCAGTAAAGCTTCCTCTTCTTTTAGTAACTCACTATCAATTGACATTTTTCTAATAGTAGGTGTTTCGTCAGGTATTACTGGGGTTTCAGGTTCATCTAAAGGAGCTGGACTCGAGATTCTTTTGTGGACTGTATTAGTCCTCTTTATGGTTCCTCCACGGGCTAGCGTATTATTCAATTCTTCTTCTCGTTCTTCCCAAATCCTTTTTCTTTTTGGAATTTCCTCTTTTTTAACAGGCTTTTCTTTAATGAAATACTTTTCCATCAAAATTTCAGCCTGGGTCTTCTTCTTCTTTAGTTCAGGGTTTTCCTTTAACTTCCTAGTATGCATCCTAACGATGGTTTTTGACCTTGATATCATACCAGGAGTGGACTCGACATCTCCGTTGTCTTCTCTCTTTCTTTTCGACAGGTCGAGATTGTCCGTGTCAATCACCACAGGCCGCTGCCGGTAGTAGTTTTTACCGTAGTTCGGAGAACTGCGGTTCCCAATTTCCCTCCTGGACAAGAGAGGCGAACCCGTCTCTGATATGGCAGATAACATCGGAGAGTATGATCGCAATCCTCTCGGCATCGGATTGCTTCCAATCCCCGCAGACAGCAAAGCTGATATTGGAGACACGTACGGGAACGAATACGGAGAAGAAATTCTGGAGGACGAGGAAGAGTAGGGGGATGAAGACAAATAGTACGGTGGCGGCTGGCCACTGCCATAGTAATAATGATCTGAGTAAAGCGGCATAGCTAATACTTAAAAAAATGTCCACTCTTAAAATAAGCTAACCTCAGTTCAGTCCAACATTTCTACAACACTTTATCACCAGAGTTATCTCTCTGTTGCCGACCACAGATTTACAAGTCCACGAGTGTTTGACCGTAACAGCACTCCCGACATCACAGACATGATGCTACGATACGACGCAACACACGCACTGTCACATGCCTCTGCGACCGCACACCAGACACTAAGTTGGCAAGAATGCTCGGATCCCTTCTACCTCAGTTTGCTATTTTTACAGTCAAACAGTCCAGCAGTGATGTGCAGCAAACAAAGGCTTCAGGTGCTCATATTGGAATCAATATTAACAACAATAATATGATTAAACAAACTATGGATGAATGATATTAAGAAATAGTATGCATTTTATCAATGTAGATACACTATGAAAATGTTTTGTTTATGAAATCATATTCAGTTGTCTACATTTGTTTCAATTTTTTTAAATCTGATAGTGACAGACATAATATAGACCTAATGTTATAGCATTCATCATGTTAAAGTTTGAAGTTAGACTTGGAAAAAATATGTTTAACATGTGGAACCAAAAGAGGGAAAAAAAAGAAATAACATTTATCTAAAAATGTTAAAAAAAATAAACAGTGATCTTTCTGTCTAAATTGCAAACTCATCATCATTGGACAAAAGTGCACAAACCAGTTTTGGCAATTGTCAATACTGTTTCAGACAACACTATTTACCCCTATTGTTCAAAAATTAAACCTATCAATTTTTCTATACAAATAAATTAGATCTAGAAAATTTGTCAAATCATTAGAGTTTGGTTTTTTATAAATGTGAAATAATGCCAGAAAAGCAATGAGAAAATTAAACAAGCAAAACGCAAGTATTAGTTTTGGAGTTAATGGTAGAGCTGAGCTCAAAATGATGTTGGTTAGTTAACCCGGAACTTGGCACAAGAATTACTCTCAAATCCAGCCTCAGGAGTTATTATTGGCTTTGAGATACTCAAGATAGTATTCACTCACTACAAGGACAGACACATACAGTAGTTTACTTAAGGCAAGGGATTATTTTATTGTCCATGTGGATGAGTTTAAAATAATTATAAATTTTAAATGTTGTAAAATGTTGTAAATTCGACATTTGTAGGTAGCTACACTGAGAAAACTATTGGATAAGATGGGAAGCACAAATATCGGGTTGGATGTATGTTGTTACACTGAGCAAACTATTGGATAATATCGAGATCATAAATGTGTTAGGGTTGGATGTATGTTGATACACTGAGCAAACTATTGGATAATATCGAGATCATAAACAGGGGCGGACTGGGTACTCTATTAGGGCGTAAACCTTGACCAGCCCGAAGGCGCCAACCGGGGGGTTTGGGGGGTATGGAACACCCCCCTGTACAGAGGGGGGGGGGCCCGGGACATTTTTTTAAAATTATACCTGTAATCTCTCATTTTTAGGCAATCTAGAGGCATTAACAGTGGAAAATCAGAAATCTGATAACTGACACTATTGGTTAATGTTTGGTTTACAAAATTTAGACTATTTACCCACACGACTTGGTGCTATTCTGACAGTAAATATCCTAACAAAAATAAAAATACAAATGATTTTCTTAGGTTCTTTCGTATTATATTTGTGTATTTTCTTTGTTTTCCCTTGCATGGCTTGGCTGCATGCATACAATATAAATCATTTGCTTCCTGTTTACAGCATGAACTTGCAACTGTTGCATTTTTTGGCACTGTAAATAACAGAAGTTATATATTTTAGATTTCTATGAAATTATTTTAACACAAACAATATGCTTTCACTGTGAACAAAACCAATTTATTGACTTAAACTTTTGAGCATTACATTAAGTCAAAACTGTAACCCTAAAGTAGGCCTACCTAACCTATTTCTACAAACGAAATAGCCTAGAGAAAACTAAGAAGGTATTTTAGGCTGGCTATCTGTAAGTAAAATAGGAAAGTTGACAGAATTAGTGCGATAGTGCATATTGAAATAGTTAATTAATAGGCTGTAGCCACATATTAAAATACTGTTTACTGTTTAACCTTTACTGTGTAATGGTTAAGTTAACAAATAAATACACTGTCACTAAATCTATTTAAATTTTGTAAAAGTAGTGATTCTACAATACTGCTTTCGTTCATGTTTCCTGTGTAGGTAAAGAATATACAAATAAATTGAAGCTTTCGACACAGAGACACAAATCAAACACTCACTAAAGAGAGTCACATTTTAATTGACACTGGCAACTCACACTCTTTATTTATTTATTACATGCACGGCAAAAGCCATTTTACAAGAGAGTTGAGTTGATATTGATAAAATTAAATGTGACTTAAAGTGAAATAGTTATAGTGTGAGCAATAATTAAATATTATAACAAATATGAATAATATTAAACTATCTTCACTAGTTGTTTACCACAGACGACATCGTGACACCGACCGATGTCGGATGTAGTCGCAGTCACGAATACTAGAAAAATACCGGTATGGATCACAAACATAAACAAATGACGTTGTTGGCCCGAATCCTATACTGAGCATTGAACATATCATTTGGCAGTTCCATTTAAGCAATGTTAAATAATGTTTATTTTCGGGCCAAAAACGTAATTTGTTTATGTTTATGATCCATACCGGCATTTTTCTAGTACTCGTGGTCGCAGTGCAGTTTTTTTCGGGATCGGCGTAAAATGACGCGGGAAGAGGACAGCTGTTTTTAAGTAGCTCAGACCACAGAGTAAAGTAAGTGCCTTCCACTCGGAGTAGGCCTACACGTACGAGAGAGAAGAGCTGCTTTGCTCTCGCTTGTCGAGTCGACAGTGTCTATTCAGGTCTCACACCCGACTTTATGTTTTGCTATTCACTGCTGAAACTTTTACTCTAAGTTTTTCCTCTTGCTTTCTAAAAAATACATCTCGTCTCATTTTTTAAAAATTTTTATGAATTTTTCCTTTAACGAGGGCGCAAATATTGGAATGTTGAGAAGGCGCATCGGCCCTCCGGCCGGTGGGCCGGCGGGCCAGTCCGCCCCTGATCATAAATGTCTTAGGGTTGGATGTATGTTGCTACACTGAGCAAACTATTGGATAACATGGGGTTCAGGTTAGTGTAAGAGAGGGCCATGTGGCCCTAACTTTGCCTGGTAAAAAAAAGAATTTTTCATTTCATTTTTTCATTTCATCATTGTAAAGCTGTGTTTACCAAGATTACGAATTTTCAATCAGAATGAAAATATATTTAGAGGTATTGAAAATACAGGTTATTACGTTAATACGCAAAAATTTCACAAAAATGGGCGCCATTTTGAAACTAATTGGTATAATTTAGGTTTGATTTCACCAAAATGTTGTTCTAAGTTCCTATGAATTTTATATTTCTATGATATGTGGTTACCCTTAGGCCTAAGTAGTATAGAGACTTGGCATTTCTGCTGTAAATTTGACTTTGTCAATGCTTATGTAGCCTGAAAGACAATAAACATATTCTTATTCTTAAGCAAAACATTTCTAAAAATGTACAATGAGATATTGGTTGACGTAAGGATATTTCGAGATTCGATCTTGTGACCTTTGTTTCTAGGTGAAGACCTACTCCCGTAAAAGTATGTGTACATGTGGCCTGCCTCACCATGTATTTCTCAGTTTTAGATTCCATGTTTGTGTGTGGTTTCCCAAAAATGTGCAATTCTTCTATTGGTTATCTTATTATTGGGCAAAACTGACTTTATATTGACAATTTCAGCAAATATTAAAAAAAATGAACTTTTTGCTTTTTAAATCAGTTTTACTCCTAAATGCTGGAAACAATAAGTTGTTTTTGTAACCCTAGTGCTCCTCTTCTAGCCTCATATTTTAATATCGTCCAGGAGATTGACATTGACACAGTATTTATTATAAAAATGATGTTCAAATACCTGATAACAATACTACTGAAGTACAAGTGGTAAGTGGTTTTATACAATAATATATCAAAAAGATTATTAAAACGGTGAAATAGTTCCATCTCTATCCCGTATTATGAGTGAGGAATAACTGATGTAGTATCCAAACTAGGGTTATAAGACATTTTGTACATGTTCTGGTATACCTTTATTGATCGTAGTTAAGACACAGTACATGTGTACGAGTTGCCTACAAAGATCAGTTTGAATTATTTGTTATTATTCGGAACAACAAAGCCTGCTACAACAACGAGCTTCTGTCAGAGTTTGCTATTCTCGGCCTGGCGTCCACCCAACATTGACTTTCGCGCACCTCCTGCTTCTAAATCGTCAACTTTCCATACCTGGACACTTGTCAAGACCAATTACAATTAATTGTTTTTTGTTCACTTACAGACTCTCAACAGGCCAAATTTTGTTTCAAAATTTCGCAACCTGGGCAAGGCATCAGATTGAAAATAAATATTAACATCTATACAATTTTTAACTGTGCTTCGAAGTAGAGTCAAGATCAACTAAGTGATGTAATAGTTACACAGGTGTGAGGGTAGCATTAAAAACACTAGAGCTCGTCCAGTAGTCGAAACTTGACCAAAAATATGTAATGTACAGACTTCTCTATTTTCACCCCACACTGTAAATAAAACATGTGATTGGAGTTTCTTCCATTTGTTTTTATTTTCAGTTTATATTTCGTTGTTATTTTGTCACCAGCATGGAAACCCATAAGATCCATGTAATTTTTTTTTTTTTAATTCATTTTTTGTTCTTATTTTTGAGCCTATTTTAATTTTTAAAGGGATTCTGCACATCTGCAGGAAAATATCTTTCCAACAGTATGCCTAGATTTTCCCTACAATGCACACGAGCTGAGAAAAAAGGATTCAAAGAAACATGCTTGCCTATTATTAATATATAGATACATATTGTACAGTTAGGTAGTAAACATTCATTTAACATTAGTGGTTTCTTTTGGATAGTCCTCTGAAATATTGTGTTCATGTATGATAACTTTATTCAACATAGGACGAGCTAGACATGGACATGTTAGTTTTCCCAATGTTAACTGGTGACCGCAGAGTATGAAGATTAGAAAGCTGTTCTTCAAGTGGTTGCAAGAAACATAGGGCGAGTTTTTTAAAGGTATACTAAAAATTAAAAGTTCTTTTGGTTTTAACGAATACAAATTATTAGACACAGACAAAACACCATCTTATACTTGTGGGTGCGTTTT